ACAACTTAAATCCTGTATGGGCTCCATTCACAGCTTGCACAAATATCTTCCGGCGCTTGCGGAATCATCAGCGTCATTGCGCCCACTATTAAGCCTGAAAAACGATTATATTTGGAGTGATGAATGTCAAATATCATTCGAAAACCTGAAAAAGCAGGTGGCTAACATAGTAGAACTTCGGCATTTTGATATACACCGGGACACAAGAATTGCGTGTGACGCTAGTCATAACGGGCTTGGAGCGGTTCTTGAGCAACTAACTTCCGACGGCTGGCGGCCGATATCGTTCGCGTCCCGGCATTTAAACGAGGCAGAGAAGAATTATTCAACTAATGAATTAGAAATGCTGGCAGTTGTGTGGGGGGCGGAATATTTTCGCAACTATGTGCTGGGAAGAAAATTTTTAATAGTTACGGACCATAAGGCACTAGTATCATTGCTAAATGGAAACAACAAAAAGAACAAAACAATGTTCAGCAGATTAACAAGATGGTTAGATCGCCTTATTCCGTTCGATTTTCAAGTAGAGCATAAACCCGGAGCAAAAATTGGACTTGTCGATTATCTATCAAGGCATCCCAGTTTGGAACCTCAACCGGTTAGCACTTACGACAGTATGTTTACGGTGGCGAAAATTAGCAGAATTAGATCCGCCCTCGGATTTCAAAAGGAACCTGTCTCCAAAAATAGACTCGAGTCTCCACCGGTTACTAATAATAGACGCGTTTGTAATATATCGAATAGGAAACGACCGGTAGAGGGCGAACGATCATGTGATGGAAATTGGACCAATCACAAAGCGACGAATTGCATTTCCGGCAGGTCAATTAAGTTTAGTAATAATTCAGTTGGGACTAATATTGAAGCTAACTTTAGTCACTTAAATCCTTCAAAAACACTCAAAATTTCTTCAAATTCTACAACAAACACTCAAAATTCAAAACACAATTTAATCATGGAAAGAAAAATCTGAAAATTATTGGAACGACACCCTAGCATTAGTAGTAGCGATGAAGTAGAGGAGATTGATGTGGATATGCAGGCGGTTACAACAGAAGTCCGGAGCACTAAAACAAATACTATTATTTCCATTCCGTCGGTTTAACCTGGTGAAAGTTATCCACCGGTTAATCCAGAAAATAAAGTTATGTCCATCATTCCGAGAAATTGCAAAATCGTCAGTAAACAAACCGCTCTTCTTGAATTGTTCAATCTTCGATTCATAGAATCACAATATAATTCAGATCCACAATTACAAGCCATTATCGAATTAATTAAATGTAAAGACCCTCAGTTACACTCAAAAATTGCAGCGATGAGTAAGTACTTTGCGCAGTATACGCAGGACTTTCACGTAAGAGACGGATGCCTGTGGATGGATGAGAGGCTGGTGATCCCTAACACTTTGCAAGCGGCGGTGTCTAATAGGTTACACTATTATCACCACGGCAAATCAAGTATGTACGACGCGGTTAAAGACATCTGGTACCCGTACATGTTCCGTAACCTAGCAACTATCGCCGGAAATTGCCAGGAATGCACATTAGCGGGTAAGAACTTGAAAAATATGTGTTTGAAGAATGGTATAGGGAAAATACCTGAGCCGAGGGAACCAAATGAATCGGTACAACTGGATTTTTGGGGGCCCATTAACTACTTGAAGGAGTCTAAAAAGTATGTTTTGGTGGCGGTGGATCGGTTCTCACGTTGGCCATCGGCTATCGTCTGTAGTGCTAACCGATCAGATAAAATTATTAAATTTTTAAAAGCATACATAATTGCCCATGGAGTTCCGCGCCAAATTCGAGTTGATCAAGGAACAAACTTTATGTCTAAGGAGGTTAGGGCATTTTGTCATGAACAAGGAATTGAAATCCTCATCTCGCCAGTGATTGATCATAGGGCAACAGGATGTGTCGAACGCACGATTGGCAGCATCAAGAATTCAGTACTTACGTATGCGTGGGAGGATAAACCGGAACCTTTGGATCGAATGGTCGAAAGAGCCCTCGGAGCTTTAAGATATGTTAAAAACGCCACCCTCAATATAACACCGTTCGAAGCGCACCACGGCCGGGAAAGTAACACCGTTCTCAGAAATTTGACTAAAAAGCCTACTTTACGGAACCTAAATTGGGAAAATGTAATACGATCTAAATCTGCATGTTTAGATGAACGAGACCCAATCGCCCAAGCAATGCCGGAGCCTATGAATGACAACTGGGGAATCCGATCGGACACTGAGTACGACCTGAAAAATAAGCGAAAACCCCTGAAATTGGCCGATGACCAGGCCACTAACCAGGATGACGAGCCTGGAATTGTGCGGGCACCAAGTGACCCAGTAGAAATACCACCGGCAGTGGTGATGCAGAGGACCGGGGAGCGAAATTTAAATAGGTATAGACCATTAAATTCGGACATAGTTACTCAAAGTAAGCATACTATTAAAATGAGTAATGGTGCTGTGCTAAGAAAATCGGGAGTAGCACTAAAGAAAGCTAAAGTTCCAAAGAAACGGTCATTGGGACAAATCGGGGCACCACCAACGCCAAAGGACCTAAAGAGAAAGTTACTGACGCGAGGCAACCAGCCAGCCAAGCAGCTCCAAAGGCACCAGGGGAACTTTCCATAGCACCATGGGAAAGAAGTCACGATTCCAAAATTTGGAATTCGCGGAGGATTCAGACTCGGACGCGGAGGATCTTTTGCCACTAATCACGTCGAAGCAAGCAAAACAGACAAGTGGGGGAACAAACGTTGGGGAAGAGGGACAAGGAACGTCTAGTGGGGTACAGGATCAAATACAACCTGAAATCATAACGATTCGACCTAGTAATTACGAGACAGCGACAGACTACACAATCGCACGCGAGCAGGAAATCGCGATGAACCAATGGAAGGGAGATACCGGAGGAATCACACCACAGGAGAAGGAACTCGAGGCGGAGCAAATTCCAGAAATTCAAGAAACCAAAGAGAAAAAGCGGGGTCGGAAACAACGACTTGTTTCCTACTCAAGTCAGGATTCAGCTAGTTCACTGGATGAAACTAGTTCTAGACGGTCGGGAAGAAAACGAACCGCAGTGACTAAGATGGGGGCAGTCATGATCGATAACATCCAAAAGACGGATAAGTCAGGAGCCAAATGAAAAGGAGGAGAAAAAAAAGTATGAGTAACAAACTTATATAAACAATTTACAAAACTGTCATATGTACGTCCAGGGAGAGGGCATGCTGTGAAACGACAAAAACTCAAAAGTTTGTGTTTTAAAGGTGTTGTAGTTGATTGACAAAACTTGTTATTAACCCTATTGATTACTGTTAACATCGATGCATTGGATACGTGATTAGAGTCATTAATTTTTACAAGGAGGGAAATTTCATAGTATTTAAACTTAGTTCAAGTTCCAGTTCTAGTTGTGCTACTTAATTCATTTATCTGTCTGGCGCTAACTGGTATTTAACCTTCGGAGTTTGTCTGTCACCTTCGGATGACAGCTATTTTGTTGTCTCCGACTAACTTTCCAAACTACGGTTACTTACTAAAAAGGATTAAAATTAACACCTCGAAACCGTCTTTTCTCACACTGGTATCAAGTTTTTGGATTTTCAGACTAAATTAAGCAAAACTTGTTGACAGAACCTTAACGCTTCTTTCAACTAGAATGCAAAAACTAGAACGCAAAAACTTCTTTCAACTAGAACCTTAACACTTTTCTTTATAAAATACAGCATACCGTTCTTTTTGTTTTTCATTTGATTCTTTCGCATTTCCCAGAAAAAAAAGTAAAACGAAATTTGGACAACTAAAAACTTTTTCGGAAAACTTTTTCTTAGTTTTTTTTGTAATCGTATCTTTACATTTGAGTTTCAGTCGGAACATTCTGTACTCTTTGCACAGCAACCTGTTATTCTTGTTATACTATCTAAAATTCCATTTATACCGATTTCAAGTTTTGCGCACGGGAAGAATTTATAGACCCACAGCATGCGCTAGGTTTTTGGCAAGCATGTAGGGGTATGGGGGGGTTGCAGGCATCGCCGAGTAGCATGCAGCTTTTCTTGTTAACCGGAAAACCTGGTTTAAGCTTTGCAAACAGAAGACGATTTTCGAATAATTTTCAGATGAAATATGAACAAACTGGAATAATAATCTAGGCTAAAATTTCTAAAATTTCTTAAATTTCTCTAAAATTTCTTGGCGCAATAATCTAAGGCCTCCAAAATCAAAATACTTCTAATAGCGTTATTAATGAAAATAAAGTACTTAACACTTTTCAAATACTTTTAAGTACTGTACATACTATATCCAATTCCAATGTAATTGGATCGAACCAACATGTTGTCCCATTACTTTTCAGATTCATCTCGCAAACTTATCAATAATATCGTGATAAGGAAGGGTATTACAAAACCAAAATTTCTTCTACGCAAAATCAGGTGTCCCAAAATCCGATTGAATCAAAATATGTGTTATGTAATTTTAAAGCCCTTTCAATTGTGATTTGAAATCAAAAAATGTCAAGCTGATTTTTTTATTTTGAGAAAATTTGGCTTGGAATTTTTGTTTTAGTCAAAGTTCGAGCGAGTAAAAAGAGCGATTGAAAGTTTTATTAAAATTTTTTTAAATTCAGGTTATTAAATTTTGTTTTCTTCGAGAAAAAATATCTGAGACTTCAGTTAGCATTTTTTTGATAAACGAACGCTTTTTTTGAGTAAATGAAAAATTTTCTGCAAAACAGTAAAAAACAATTTTTTGAAAAAATTCTTAAAAAGTTTTAAGTTTTTTTATTCACTTTCGAAGACAAATGAAGTCACTTATGTCTTTTTTACGTATGCTTTATGCTCTTGTCCAAAGTTCCTCATCGTACCATCCAAAAAACTTGACGCAAATTTGAAAAAAATTTATGTATTTTTTTAAGTTTTTTTTCCATACTTGTAACTACTTTCGGAACATTCTGTGCTACTTGCAGAGCCAACAGACTATCCTTGTTTACCTGTGCTGTTGTCTTTCCACTCCCAATAACCGTCAGTCGGAACTAGAGAGCCTTCGTCTCCGCCCATGGCGAGTGCGTTGAACACCCCATTGCCACTACCTGCCCCTAATGAATAACCCAATTTGAAGTTCTGAGTTGTCTCCATTTCGAACGTTGCTTTTGGTTAAGAATTTTTGATAAAATTAAGATAAAACCTCAAATGAGAGATAAAATCTCGGACGAGAATTCGAAATGAAGATAAAAGTAGACCTAGTAAGAGAAAGTCCTGAAAATTCAACTGAAAGTTAAAGGCAATTAGATTGCGTTTTTGCTTGAAAAAAAAATTAAGGACAAATAACTATTGGTTAACAAAAATAATTGTAAAATACCAGACTTGCAAAAAGGCGTGTCTAATTCTGAGATAGCTCTAAAGTTGGTTCGATTAATTGAATTCAATTTCAGCTTCAGACTGAAAATTTAAATATCGAATGTCTGTTAAACAATTTGATTGATTTTGAATGTATCATGATTAAGCTCAATGGTACATGGTACAGTAGAAAAAATCATGGTCTTCAGCGTTTAACGTGTAATGCGACTGTTTTTTTATGTGGACAAAAATTTAGTAAACAGCACGTGCATTCGTACGCATTATCTAAAACGATGAGCTCTCAATTTTAACATATACCAAAACCAGATGGTTTCAAAATATAAATTTATTATGAAAATAAGCTAAATAATTCAGAAACTGATTAACTAAATATCGAACACGGTAAATCATTTGACCCAAAGATTCATCAACCCAAAGAGCCCGCTTACCGCAGTAAAAACCAAGGGTGCTTGATCCTACCAGACCCCTATACCGAATTTTGGTTAAGAAAAGCTTTTTTTAATGTTTTTTTTTCGATGCATTAAAATTTGCCATGATGTGATAAATTATTACTTCAGAAAAAGACGTAACCTTAATCAACGCAGTATCTTGAAATTAGCAGCAAAATTAAAATTTTTTGGGCGGGAAAGAAAGTAAAAAAAATCCTAAAAATGTGTGCTAGTCTGATCTCATCGCAATATTTTCATCTCTTTTTCAAGAACTTTTTTATATTAGTTTGTTCCATGTTCTTTAACTACAACTACCCTCTTGCGATGATTTTTCGAGTTTTATTGTTTAGCTCCAATATCTTTATTTTTAGCCCTACTGACTATTCATTCGACTGTCAGCCCACTAATGATTTTATTCTGCCCAGGCAATCGGACATAAAATTCGATTTCTCTTTCTGGAAAGTCAAGACCCAAATTTGATGCCAATCGACAGTTTCTGTGACATCTCGAAATACTTTTTTTCTCTCTTTCTCGTTCTCGTTCAAATACCGGGCCAGGCAAGATGGATTGTGATTGAAAGCAATACTGTGTACATGCTAATTTCTAGCGGCTGTCCGCCAAAATCAGATTGCTTTTTTGCTGACCTGAACAACGCCGATCTCTTTTGTGGATCTGAAATAAAAACAACCAAACAAAATAGCTTCCAAAAATTATACCTGCACTCATATACTACAAAAGGAACCTTTAGCTGGACAATGACGATAAACTGATATTTTTTGCCAATTTTTTTTTCCATTTTGAAGGTCAAATAAAATGCAGAAATAGTAAAAATTACCGCCGGTTTTTCTATAAGATTCGCCGGTGAGTCTATAAGATGAAACCTAAGTTCATACAATTATAGGCATGGATCAAGGAATTTTGCGCGGGGCGACTTTTGACAACCTCTTTTCCAAGTCGAACAAATTCAATTTCCGAGGCCCCCAAAACATTAAATAAACCCTTTCTGCCAAAAAAATGCGCTTTTTGAAAAAAAAAACAGCAGTTTTTCACTCCACCCGCCACCATTTAAACTTTCAGTTTTCTCAGTTGTCTTACGCGTTATTATGACTAAATGCGTGATGTTACGATGTAAGGTACGAAGAAAAAAAATGTGTTCACAATAGCTGGTTTGTTCACCATGTATAGTTTCATAATACAATAGTGGACAAAATTGAACACAAACTCAGGTTTTCACTCTCTAAAACGCTAGTTTTAAAGAACTTGGCTCTTTTCCAGTTTCTCCCTTTCAAAATACCGAGTTTTATGTTTGTTTTACTTTTTATTACGGCTAAATGCGTGATGTTACGCTATAAAGTATGAAGAACAAATCTGTTCAGTTGTCGATTTGTTCACCACGCCAAATTTCATTAAATTAAGACAACGTTAAATAAGCTTTTCAAAATTGAATTTGAAAGGGCGAAAACTGAAAAGAGCCAAGAACGTTTTAGGACATTATTCAATTAGAATTTGAATAAAATTTTTAAATCGACTGACAATAAATGATCTGAATTACCCTCTCTTGAAGTTTCCACTTTTTATTTGAAACACTTACCAGTTTTTTGCGGGTCTGAAAATCGCAGTTTTCACCATCCCCAATTCGCGTGAAATTGTAAGAAACAGCTCAGTTTAGTGAAGTTGCCACACTCATTATTTTAATTTTTCCACTGAGAATGTTTCACGTCGCATGAACAAATTTTTTTACTCCCCTTATTCGAGAAAGAGTTCACTACGATGCAAGACTTAGTGCGGATAATGAAACTGGCATTTTCAGACCCAGAAAAAACTGGTGAGTGCTTCAAATTAAAATCTTAAACTTTAAGAGAGGGCAGTTCAGATTATTTGATGTCAGTCGATGTAAAAAAATTCGTTCAAACTCTAATTAAATATTATCCAAAAAGGTTCTTAAAAACAGGCGTTTTAGAGGGTAAAAATCTAAATTTGCGCTTAATTTTGTCCACTAGTGTAATATGAGGCTCTTTTCCAGTTTCCCACTCCTTTCGTATAATTACAAAAAAAAGCTGTTCAATAATTGTTCACATGGGGTTTTGCATGTAAAAAATGTTAGAAACAGTTTTTTTCACCTGTTCACTCTGACACGTTTTAATGCAGTTTAAAGCAGGAAAAATCCGAGTTTTATGAAATACCCCCCCTTTCAAAATACCGAGTTTTATGTTTGTTTTACATGTTATTACGGCTAAATGCGTGATGTTACGCTGTAAAGTATGAAGAACAAACCTGTTCACAGTTGTCAGGGGCTACAATATGTTCAGTTGTCAATCATCTTAGTTGTTATTCTTTATTTACTTATCTCTGAGATTTCTCATACTATAATTAAGTGTGAGTTTGGTACCTGCCTGTCAATCAACTTAGAACTGTCTAGCTGTTATGTGTTGACCTCTAGTTCACTCTCTTATTTAAGCGAACTAGAATACAGTCAATTGAGTATTTAACAGCCATCGTTTTATCAATCCTTGTTATGGCGCAGCCAGTGGATGGAGGGGGAAAAAACCCCCTTGGAATTGTGGCCTTCTGGCCTCCGAATCAGGCGGAACCACAACTCTTATGGGAACACTGGAAACAAAGATTTCATTGGGCGATGGTGGCGAAACATGGACTAGTCTCGTCGGAGTATTACTTTGCATCGACATTAACTGAAGCACAGAATACTGACCTGGGTGACGTTGGTGGAAAACCACGGGCAGAAGGTGAACGTACACTGATATCGAATCTGTACTTATGCCTGGGACACGAGGGACAGAGAGCCTTGCATAATCAGCATCCACATTTAGATATGGAAACAATACGATACCCACGTTTTTTAGATACCTGTGTAGCTCTTTTTCAGAAAAAGCGAAACGAAACGTACGAGATGTACCAGATGTTGTCGAGGAAACAAAAGGAGGGTGAAAGCTTAGAATCGTTCTATGCAGAACTTAGTGGAATGGCGGCAAGATGCAATTTGGGCACCCAGGAGCGGAAAATGGTGAGAGACATATTTATTTTCAACATGAGGAACAGGGACGCGCAGAACGAGCTGTGTAGGGAAACTAAAACCCCGGAGGAAGCATTGAGAATCGCAATGTCATATGAAAGAGGAGACAAGTACGCAAAGAGTTACAAGGGCGTCGCATCCGGTTCCACGGGAATGGCGTATCCATCGCCAGGGGGTTCCCTGCAGATCAAAACGGAACCAATCAGCAATATTCGTGGATCCAGGGGACGAGGAATGCCAAGGGGACGGGGCCAATATCCAAATCGTGGAGGAGGTCGAACACAAGACCGAATGCAAGAGCGAAGATGTTACAATTGCGATCAACCGAACTTCACCCCAGAACACCGACAACGATGCCCAGCAAGAGCCGTCACATGCAATTTTTGCAAAAAGATCGGGCACTTTGAGAGGACTTGCCGGGGAAAACGACAATCCAGGGGGGACAACCGGTCGGATTAATCCAAGGGGATGAGCTATTCGAGGAAGAAGATACCCCCTCGGATGACGTGGGGCCCCAAGTTGCGGCAAAGTCAGTAGGTTTCGTTAAATGAGAACACCACAGCTGGTCATCAGAAAGTTCAGACGACTACATGGTTATGGGAATTAGACGGAAGAAGGAAACAGTATTGAAAGTTGCCGGACATAAACTCAAAATATACATTAATGGCCATCCGATGAACATTTGGATCGACAGTGGATCGCCGATATCCATTTTAACACTAGAAGATTTGAAGAGAACAGTGGGAAGAGCGGGAATTAATTTGAAACAGGATGGCACTGACGATGACGAATTCCGGGATTACAGTAACAATCGGATCAAGATGTTGGGCAGAATGGAACTCGAGTTAGCATCAAACGGCTGGAAGACGAAAGCAGAAGTCCGAGTCATTGGGGGGACCAGACCATCCATCGTGGGACGTGATTTGATGGGGAAACTCGGACTCCAGTTGATGCAAGCAGATCCAAGGGGGGAAGTAATGAATATCCAGGGGACGGAAGACAATTCATGCAATGAGGGGCACGACGAACCGGAGCATGAGCAGATGGATCAATGGCAATTATACTTCAGTAAGCTGTTCCCAAAACTTTTTACTAGAGTTGGAAAAATTAAGAACTACAAGGTTCAAGCAGAATTTTTCAAAAATCTTGTACCAGTGCAGCAGAAGGGACGGAGAGTGCCGGTAACGCTCCAAGAAAAGGTGGACAAGGAAATTGATAAGCTATTAACCCAGGGACATATAGAAAAGTTGAAAAAGTGTTCGGATCGATATTTTGTTTCTCCGATCGTCATCACCGTAAAAAAAGACGGGTCCGTAAAGTTAGAATTGGAATCTCGAGAGCTTAATAAACAAGTTCATAAAAACAAATACCAAATGCCAAATGTACAAGAACTTGTAGATACAATAGGACAACTTATTTCCGAGAAAAAACAAGGGGAGGTGTACTTTACTACGATGGATCTAACGTACGCGTATGGGCAACTACCGCTTAGTGAAGAAACAAGCGTGCACTGTATTTTTTCTTTGGTGGGCGGACGGTCGACAGGAACATACCGATTCCGAACAGGGTTTTACGGGCTAACGTCCATGCCGGCAGAGTTCCAACGAAAAATGGACTCAATTTTGAACGAATTCCCACAAGCGAACGCGTTTATTGATGATATTTTGGTTACAACCAAGGGAACGGAAGTAGAACATATCTCCTTGGTTGAAAAGATCCTCAGGAAACTAAACCACGAAAACATATCGCTGA